TCTCCCTCTGACCCTCCCCCCTCTCATGTGCTCTCTCTCTGTCTCTCAAATAAATAAATAAAATCTTTAAAAAAAAAAAAAAAGAACCTCTGTGATAATCCTCCGGACCTGCCACGCTGGAGTAGAACACTTCTAAGATACCTCTCAGCTCCAACGTCGCAGGCTAAACCACAGATGAGAAAACACGTCACTTAGTCATGAGTGATCCTCAAGAAGCTTAAATGCTGGTCCCCGGGGTAGGAACTTGCCTGCTGTTCGTATTGCCACCACTAGATGGCAGCGCTAGGCTACTGATGGCAAATCTAAAGTCCTGCACTGAAATTGTTTACATTCACTGAGCTATGATACAGAATTTATTCTAAAAGCATGTAGGATTCAGCAGGGGGATAAAGTCCAACTGGCTAATAATATACTAAATGGTTGTCACATATGGAATTTATCACATTTAGAAAACCCATCTACAGGCCACAGAGCCTATCCTGATGAACTGAGGGCTGATGATGCTGTCTACAGCCAGACAATTTTCTGGCAGGTGGGTTTTCCAAAAACCATTATAGCACCAGCACCCTTCCGCTCTGACCTACAGCACTGCTAAATAGTCCCCGAAAATGTGCTGCAAGTCGTTTCAACATAAAGGAAAATCTTCAACTTGCCAACTATTTCACATGTTTATCAAATACTTTATATAATCCATTACCAAAGGAGAAGCTCTCCACTGACTCAGCGCTGAAAAGAAATGGCAAGAAAGTTCATTGACAGTGCGCCAATTTCTATTCAAAATACCATACCGTAGCACTATTTTCAAGTTGAGTTTCAGGAATGGGGACAAAGTAATGTCTGCTTTAAAAATTTGGCAGTACTCGAGGGCAGGAAGATGGTGAAGTGACACAGTTAATTATTTTACAGTAACCCACAACTTCTGTTTCTCATCACAATAAAAAATAAAACCCCCTTTGTTTTTTAGCTATTTTTCCAGGACATGGACATTTCAATTTATGTAATGGATATGCTGTGTGTAAATCAACTTTGGGGTGAATGGCACTAAGGGAGCCCCAGGGGAACCCTCTGCTGGCTCGCTCATACACGGAGATAGGAAACTCACAGCATATGGCTCCTGACTTAGTTTTTCTCTGGCAATTTGGCCTTTCAGAGCCAAGAATATATGTAAATGTATGAGCCTCACGACTCTGCAGGCTTTAAAGCATCTTAGGATCACAATGTGGCTGGCTAATCGTGGGTCGGTTTAACCTATTTGCAGCTCTGGGGGAAAATAACTTCTATACCACTCATTTGGCTATGCTGTTTCCCAGCCTCTCATCTCAGATTTCTCATCTGCAAAGTTAACCCAAGGCCAGCTGAGGTGGCTTCAGCCTCCAGAATTCCGAGTCTGATCCTACTGTTCACATGCAATATGCTGGCCTTGGACATTGGAGCACCGGCCAGAGAAACATAAATAATGGACTCAATAGGGAAAATTAACTCACATTAGCAACTGTTTATTTTAACATATAACAAGCACATCCCATGTGCCAAGCTCTAAGTTAAACAATCTCACATTTAAAAGCATGAAAAAGAGTCTCAACAGTGTACAGGTTTCTGAGTTGTCTGCAAGAAAAGTGGGCAGAGTATCCATGCTCAACCTCCTCTCGCACTAAGGGGGCTCCTCTAATATCTCCTAGTAAAAATAAAATTCCATATACTTGGCCACTGCTTTCAAGCCTAGATGTCTTATTTGGCTGGAACTTTAACATTCTCTCTTCTAAAGTATAAACAAGATTCTAAGCACAATGCTCCAGGATTATAGGACTTTTATAATACTCTGTAGAGACAAATGTACTGGGATAAAGTGAAAATTAATTTTAGAAGTGAGAAGGGTTAATAAAGGGGGGAATAACTAGGTAGGACAAGCAGCTTCTTTTCAAATCAGTAACAGTGTAAAAAGGCCAAATGATGCTGGGGGGAGTGTTTCTACAACTTTTCAAAAACTGTTTAATTATGGAAAATTTCCCGACTACACAAAAGTAGAGGGAAAAGTTTTAAAAAAAAAAAAAGTAGAGAAAAAATGTAACTCCATATGCCCATCACCCAGCTTCAACAATTACCAAGATTTTGCCAATCTTGCTTTGTCTATCCCCCCTTATTTGTATTTTAAAGCAAGTACAAGACTGTTCAATTCCATTTCACCTTCTCATTTTAAAAATGTTTTTCACTGCTCCTTTTGCTGCCCCGTGCAGCCAAGATGATGAAAGACAGACAGAAAGTCAGAGAGAGATTCCTAGCTTTCATAGTAACCCTGCCAAAGAGGCTTTCAACCAGAGTAGACTTTCCAAGAATGGTTTTACACCTTTTTCAATGGCATCTGTTAATAATCATAAAAATACAGAGGGTCCCCTCTGGTACTGCTTAAGTAGAAAGAATTCCATTTACAGTCCAATGCAAACACTGTTACTGTTAATATTCAACTGTGCAGAGGCCGGCACTCAGGGCTGCCTATCAGGAGAGTAGTTTCTTTGAGGACTTAAAGTGCTAAGTTTGATCCCTATCTTTGGAGCCCTTCAAAGAAGCTCTCCTCGGGTGGGTCTGCCCTTGTCAGGGAAACGCCAGAATCTTGGGTTTTGCCCTGTCTGCGGGGGGGCTTCCGTCCTTACCTGCGAAGCTTATTCGGCGCTCGGGGCGCTGCCCAGCTCGAATCAAAGGCCCCCGAGGCGGTCAGAGCGCGGACCAGGGCGGCCGGGGGGTGCTGCCGCGAGCCTCGCGGACCCGCCCGCACCACCAGCGGCTCGTGGCGGAGACTGCGGAGGAGGCCTGCGCCGAGCCGCGCGCGGGCCGGCACATGGGAGGGGAAAGGGGGCGATGACGCGGGCGGGCGGACGCAGTGGGGGAGGCGAAGGAGGGGAGGAGGTGGGCTAGAGGAGAGGCAGGGAAGGAGGGAGGGGGAAGGAACCCGGACGCCGGGCTGGGCCGAAGGAGGGGGGTTCCTCGGACGTGCGGAGCAGACGGGCCACCACCTCTCACCCCAGTATCTTTGTCCCCAGAGTGAAAGAATGAAGCACGAGGAAAAATGCATGGGTCGATTCACAAGAGATGTCGCCGTGATATGTGCATCCCTTGCACGCTATTTCAAGAAGAGACTTGAAAGTTGGGGAGGAAGGGTGATGGGAGTGTGTGGGAGTTGTTCTTTGAGTCTCACTACCCCCGGCTCTGTCTAGACCCCAGCCATCTAGAAGAACCAGAGCTGTTTTCCCACCCCCATCCCAAGCCGTCTCTGTCGGGGGTCTCGCTTCTTGGGACGTATCCCCCACAGGGCAGATCCCACTGGTGCGGGTGCCCGGGTGCCCCGTGTGAGTGCTGCGTCTAACCTCAAGTTCCCGCAGGCGCCCACGCCGGGGCTGGGCGGCGGGGTCCCTGCGAGCATCCTGTGCCGCCGCCAGGGGGAGAGCGTCAGTTTCCGTCCGTCCGCAGCCTAGTTGGCTTTTTCTATTTTCGAAGAGTTTCGGATTCTTGCCCCCCTCTGTCTTACCAGCGTGCTAAACTCGTCGTTTCTCACTCTCCTCTTAGCAGACATACTCCTTTGGAGTGCGGACCACCTGCAGAAGGGAGTCTCACTGATTCAACATCTACTGAACTGCTACTGGGTGGCAGGTCTGGGGCAAGATGCACCTATACCAAGTACAAAAACTGGGTCCTGGCCCTCAAAGTAGGGAGATCAAAGAAGTGCACAAATACTTATTACACAAGGTCTTCGCATATTCCATAGCACTTGGCTCATTAGTGGGTTATTTCATCTCTCAAGTTTCTATGTATTTTTTTAACAAAATGAAATCAGAATATATATATAATTTATATATAAATTAGAGAATTTAATTCTCTATGTATAGAGAATATAAACAGAATATATATATAACTTAGCATTTTTGTATATGCACTTACCCATATAGTAAAAATCCATTAATGCTTTTCATCTGGTATAAAATAATTAGTTCTGAAGCTCTGTCTCACTAATTAGGTCATAATCTTCATAGGCATCTTTGAATCCCCACCTTCTGCCACAGAACCTGGCATATAATAGATGTGGAGTATGTATCCCATTGAAAAAGTTTGCCGGTGAAATTGAGTGTGGGGTAGTCCTAGAGAATGCCCAGAACTCAGAGTGGGAAGTCCCATCTGACACTAAATACCTGTGCCCTGGGCCTCATTTTCTTCAACAATAGATCCAGAAGGTTGAGCTGGGTTGGGGGTGGGGGGGCGTCCAACAGTCTGCACTTCTCAAACATTAGGGGATTCTAACACTGCATAAATCCAGAAGGATTTAGTGCGAGCCCAGGTCTGACTCCTTTCATTTAGTCATCGCCCCAGGTGAAACTGACTCCATGTGCTCTCACACTTTCAGGGCCCCCTTCCTGAACCTTATACCCTGAGCACTCTTCCCTACCTCCCCCCGCAGGTTTACTGAGATATAAGTGACATATAACACTGTGTAAGTTTAAGGCAAACAGTGTGATGATTTTTTACACACACGCCTTGAAAAATGTTTACCACAATAAGGTTAGTTAACCCATTCTTTACCTCACCGCATTGTCATTTTTAAGTTGTTACGGTGAGAACATTAATGCTTTATTCTCATAGCAACTTTCAGAATTACAATATTGTTAACTATAGTCACTGTGCTGTCCACTAGATCCCTGAAATGTAACCATCTTATAACTGAAGGTTTATACCCTTTGACCAGCATCTCCCCATTTCCTCCCCAGCCCTCAGTCTTTGGCAACTACTCCATTCTACTCTGCTTCTGTGAATTCAATGTTTTTAGATTTCAGAGCTCTCAAGTCTATCCACGTTGTCTCAAATGGCAGGATTTCTTTTTTATGGCTGAAAAATATTCCGTTAAATATATAAACATATATAATTTTTTTTATTTTAAGTATATTTATATATATAAAACCTTTTCTTTATCCATTCACCTGTCAAAGGACACTTAGGTTGCTTTCATGTCTTGGCTACTATGAATAATGCTGCAATGAATATGAGTGTGCAGATCATCTCTTTGAAATAGTGATTTCATCTTCTTCACATATATACCCAGAGTGGAATTGTTGGATCACAGGGTAGTTCTATTTTTAGTTTTTTGAGGACTTCCGTACTGTTTTCCAGAGTGGCTGCACCAATTTGCATTCCCACCATCAGTGAACCAGGATTCCGTTTTCTCCACATCCTCGCCTTGTATCTTTTTGATAACAGCCATTCTAATGGGTGTGAGATATTTATTTCATTGTGGTTTTGATTGCATTTCTCTGGTGATTAGTGATATTGAGTTCATTTTCATGTATATTGTGTATATCTTCTTTGGAAAAATGTCCATTCAAGTCCTCCACCCATTTTTCAATCAGATTATTTGGGGTTTTTTGGTATTGGATTGTATGAGCTTCTTATATATTTTGGATATTAGCCTCTTATCAGATACATGGCTTGCAAATATTTTCTCCCATTCAATAGGCTGCCTTTTCATTCTATTGATGGTTTCCTTTGCTGTGCAGAAACATTTAGTTGGATGTTGTTCCACTTACTTATTTTTACTTTTATTGTTTGTATTTTGGTGTCAAATCTGAAAAACTGTTGCAAAGACCAATGTCAAGTAGCTTTTCCCCTCTCTGTTTTCTTCTAGGATTTTTATGGTTTCAAAGCCTACTTTTAAGTCCTTACCCCATTTTGTGTTAATTTTTGTGTGTGGTGTAAGATAAGGGTCTAACTTCATTCTTTTGCATGTGGATATCCAGTTTTCCTAACACCACTGGTTGAAAAGACTATCCTTTCTTGAGTATTCTTGGTTTCCTTGTCATATACTGGTTGACTCTGTATGTGTGGGTTTCTTTCTGGGCTCTCAATTCTGTTCCATTGATAAATGTGTCTGTTTTTGTGCCAGTACCATACTGTTTTGATTCCCATAGCTTTGTACTATAGTTTGAAATCAGGAAGTGTGATATCTCCAGCCTTGTTCTTTCTCCAGATTGCTTTGGCTATTTGGTTTTTTTGTGGTTTCTTAAGAATTTTAGGATTCTTTTTCTATTTCTGTGAAAAATGGCATTGAAAACATCATAGGGACTACATTGAATCTATAGATGACTTTAGGTACTATGGACATTTTAACAATATTAACTCTTCTGATCTATGAACACAAGATATCTTTCCATTTATTTTTGTCTTCAGTTTCTTTCCTCAATGTTTTATAGTTTTTGGTGTATAGATATTTAACTTGATTGGTTAAGTTTATACCTAAGTGTTTTATTGTTTTTGTTATTATAAATGGAATTGTTTTTGTTTTCAGATACTTTGTTAGTGTATAGAAATGCAACTGATTTGTGTACATTGATTTTGTTTTGTTTGTTTGTTTCAAGTTTTTATTTAAATTCTAGTTAACATATAAGGTAATATTGGTTTCAAGACTAGAATGCAATGATTCGTCACTTACATATATAACACCCAGTGCTCATCACAAGTGCCCTCCTGAATCCTCAGCACCCATTTAGCTCATCCCCTACCCACCTTTTTCCATCAGCCTTCAGTTTGTTCTCTATTGTACATTGATTTTTGTATCCTGAAACTTTACTAAATTGCTGTATTAGGTCTAATAGTTTTTTTGGTGAAGTCTTTAGGATTTTCTATTTACAAAATTATGTCATTAGTACACAGAGACCATTTTACTACTTCCTTTCTGATTCAGGTGCCTTTCATAATTTTTTCTTGCCTAATTCCTCAGGCTAAAATGACCAGTAATATGATGAATAGTGTGGTGAGGGTAGGCACCCTTGTCTCATTTCTGATCTTAGAGGGAAAGTTTTCAACCTTTTACCATTGAGTATGATGTCAGCTGTTAGCTTGTCATATATGACCTTTTATTATATTGAGGCATATTCATTCTATACCCAATTTTTTTAGAGTTTTTTTCATGAAAGAATGTTGAATTTTGGTAAATGCTTTTTCTGCATCTACTGAAAAGACCATTCGATTTTTGTCTTTTATTCTATTAATGTGGTATATCACTCATTTATTGATATGCATATATTGAACCATCCTTGCCTTCCCAGGATAAATCCCACTTGAACATGATGTATAATCCTTTTAATGTGATGTTGAGGGGTACTCAGTTCAATGGGTGTCCAACTCTTGATTTCAGCTCAGGTCATGATCTTGAGGTCGTGAGATCAAGCCCCGCATCAGGCTCTGTGCTCAGCAAGGAGTCTGCTTGGGATTCTCTCTCTCCCTCTCCCTCTAGCCCTCCCCCTCCTCTTTCTCTAAAATGAATGAATAACATCTTTTTAAAAAATAATGTGATGTTGGGGCGCCTGGGTGGCTCAGTTGGTTAAGCGACTGCCTTCGGCTCAGGTCATGATCCTGGAGTCCCGGGATCGAGTCCCACATCGGGCTCCCT